TAGACCCTAAACCCTAAACCCGGTGTATCTTGGGTTTCCTTCAGCAGACTGGCGCCTGGCAGAGCGGCCAGTTCCACAGCTCCTGGATTTTCAGGAGCCATAGGGGGCATTTCACGGACGAATGGCCCTGCAGAGTGCTGGAGGCTACAGAGGGCTTAGGGTTTAGGAAGATACGGTGGGAATCTTCCTTCTTCCTAGCGCGTCCTCAACATGGAGTTGTCAAGTTTTGGACACCGGCACGTTCAAACGAGCCCTCCCTGCGCAGTCCACCTGCTCCTCCACCAGCATCCTTAGCTTCTTGCTGGCATCTGTTCTGAGTGGGTTCTTGCAGACACTTCCCCTGTTGTCCCGGTTCCAATCCACAGCTTCTGAGGCAGCACTTCTGTCGCCTGTCACCTGCAAACATGCACGTCCTGCTTGCCGAAAGCCAAAACGATAAGGCACGCTGCCCAGAATTCCAAACAGCTCTCTGTGTGAAATTGGCTCTACACAAAGTGTAACCTGTTGAATAAGACTACATAACTAAGTCCGAACCTGCCATCCCACCCGCGTCGCTATACATCTGCTGAGATTCAGCTTCAGCAGCTTCTCTGTCGCGGCACCCGTGCCCTTTGCAACTGAGAAACTCGCTTGAACATGTTGCTCTAATTCTCCACAAAGCTTGTTTGAAGTGTTGTGCTGTTGCGGTTGGCGATCGCCGTCTTCTTGAGTCTACCCTTTCTGCGTGCCATTCACAACAGTAGGATGATGCCTTTCTCAGAGAAGCTTCGCACATGCTTCACCCTCAGCTTGTGGATGGTCCTCGGTTGCAGTCTCCTTCGCTTGTTTTCAAGCCTGATCCTAAAAATCCAACTAGCTGCCTGAATCGAATGCGTGTGAACTTTGCGGTACCGGAGAGTTCAGCTGCATCAACCTGTCAATGCACAATTCGTTTGACCTCTATTCTGTGTGCACACACGCACAATGCTGTCTAGGGCTCCCAGCCAGTATATGAAAACCCGAACAGTGCTGAACATTGATTACACACAAAATGCAGCATCCTCTTCGCGCAGACTCTGCAGCCTATCAGCGCGGATCGTTCGCGCCTCGCGAAGAGCAAGCGTCTGCCAGCTGCGCTCATCCTTCGGGAAATTGCAGGCACGCTTGGGGTTTTGAGTTCTTTCTGCTGGCTCTTTCCCGACGGCTGCATCGCTACAAAGAGTCAGGACGGGAAATCCATATGGTCTTGATCTTTGTAGCGCAGCCGGTCAAGTGAGCGTCGAACCACTGTCAAGCATCGCACAAGTAAGTTTCCGACCCCAAGCAACGCTGCGAAAGAGCTGCTCAATGTCCTTAGCAAAAAGAGTTCACAGGCTCGCCCTCTGCCGGCGGACTGTATTCTGCGGATTGCCAGAATCCGACACTCTCTATCTTCATGCTACTGCCTTCGGTTTGTAATATGTAAGCACTGCAGTTTGCTCTACGACTTTCGCGCCCCAAGCATACTTGCAGCCCTGCACTACTCTCTCCATCCGGCAACGCCGAGGTCCAGATCGTGACCAAAAGCTCTTGCAAAGTGGCGCAACTTTTCCCAGAAGCTCGTTTGTGTACAGGAACCAACCGATGCACCTTGGCTCTCAAGGAATTGAAGAGTCTGAATAGGGAAGAAAGGCGGAGCACGCTGCACCAAGTCCCTGGACGGTTCTGGGCCAAGGCACATCCAGCTGCTCTCGGGAAGCTGCACAATGCGCTTGTCCGTTCTCCGAGCCGGTCTACTCAGGGTCTCAACCTTCACAGCCATGCAGGGGTGGATCACCACACTGTGCAATGCATAAGCGATGATGGAAGTGCTAAACGCGGCCTGCCTTGGCCGGAGGATCTGAAGCTGGCAGTGGGCCAGGCCACCACTGGCCCACCTCTGCAAGAAAAAACAGAGCACCAAAACCATTGAAGCACATGCTTCGCAACTACCACGTATGTGACGGCATGTGGCACTTAAGCATAGTTCCGACCCCTCATGTAAAAAGTCATGTCCGAGGAAGCTAGCTTGCGTCAAACCGAGTCAAACCCAACACATTCCTCGGCCTGGTCCTCATTCCGTCGCAGACGTATCCGAAGCTCACCTTCCACTCGGCAGGCTGCCTGCCGAGCCATGTGAAGAACCTACTGTAGTACCGATCGCTACATTACCAACCAGAATGCGAATGCAAGCATAATTCTACTTGTAGTGCTGTTAGGATCTCAGTGACCAAAATCCCCATCACATGCTGCAATGCCTTGAGCTCCTCGGGAGTCCCACGGAAACCGTTGACTTCCAGGATGCAATGGCCTGGGTGCACCTGCAGGGTGCTCGAGGCCTCTGCTGGGCTCCCGGGGGAGATTCACGAGCAGAACTTGAAGCCGAATTGCGATCCGCACACGACCGATCTCAAAAGCGGGTCACCAGGATTTCACTGCTCGCGAGGGGGCGCACTACGTCTGCAATGTGATTAATGCATTTCTGACCACAGGAACTTCCCTGGAATCTGTAGCATCTGGGGACAAGACACCGATAAATTCTCTACCGTGATTAACAGGTCGGTTTTCGTCATACACTCCAGAGAAAAGAGACCGACATGAAGTGGCTGGCTGGTACGACTCGCAGGCCACCTCCTTGTCCGGGTGCACAAAGTTCCTGAGTTGGAGACGATCCCTACAGAAATCTTCCATCCCATGCACCAGCCATGCAAAGATCTTGATCTGAAGTTGCCACAAAAGCTTGCTGCACAAAAAACAAACAAGCGTCACCGATCGTGGTGGTGTTGGTGGTGGTGGTGGTGGTGGTCGTGGTGGTGGTCGTGGTGGTGGTCGTGGTGGTGGTCGTGGTGGTGGTCGTGGTGGTGGTCGTGGTGGTGGTCGTGGGGG